TCCAAAGGTCCATTTATTAGGAGATGGGGAAGGCAAAAGCTGTGGGGAAACCTCTTTGGAGGAGAGGAGAAGAAAAAAAAAAAGAAGGGCAGTTTTCTTTGAACGTCATCAGAGCAGCTTTGTTAGCTGAACAGCTTGTCTGTGTTTGCAGTGGCAGTGCTTAGCAAATGAACAACCTCTGTGATTACAGAAAAATTAGCACCACTGGAAAATTATTTTAAGCTTTTCATTTAATGCCTCATGGGAGGGACGGTGGTTGCTCAAGAACAAAATGTTTCAAAAAGGCTTCAGCAGCAGTTTTGCTGCTTCTCAGAACCAAACAGCACAAAAGACATGGCAGGTGTTGAGGGGCAGATATTTGTGGGTCCCCTGAGTCAATTTCCAACAATTAATTTAACAATAATATCCAACCATTTGGAAATAATTAACACTGAGATTTTAAAATAGTACAAATCAAATAATTATCCAGAATAAATGGGGTAGGAGGGCAGGTAAGAGAAGGAGTTAAGAGAAATGTTTCTTCAACTTTAAAAGTATCATCACAATCATTGAATGGTTCAGGTTGGAAGGGACCTTAAAGATCATCCATCCAACCCCCCCTGCATGGGCAGGGACACCTCCCACCAGCCCAGGCTGCTCCAAGCCCCATCCAACCTGCCCTTCAACACTGCCAGGGATGGGGCAGCCACAGCTTCCCTGGGCAACCTATTCCAGTGCCTTCCTACCCTCAGTCTTCATGATTTTTTATTTTTGGTCCTCCTTTTTCTTTTTAAATAGTAAATTTAATGATTAAAATTAAGTAATAATAGTGTAGAAAACCTTGTGCTGGTCTGAGAACACCAAAGAAGCAAAGTTTGAGGTATTACAGCCAGGCCAGTTCAAGCTGGCCCCCTACTCCTTGCATTTGTTCATCCACAAGAGGTACCTGATGCCACAGCCTCCAAGCACACCAGGAACCAACACAGTCACTTCTTTAGTGGGGAAAAAAAAAAGGAAGCAAATTATGAGAAAAGAAAGTCCTAGATTAGCAAGGCTGAAAAAAGTCTGAACAGTCATTGACCACACTGTGGTATTTTTAAGGCTGCTGAAGTTCAGGGTTTGGTTTCACCAGATGTTGTTGGCCAGAAGAAGCACTGGATGCCACCAAGGACTGTCTCAGGGGGTCACTGGAGAGTGTCATGACCAACACAGGGCAGGGTGGAGCACAGCAAGGGACAAGAGCAACCAGACATCAGCCTTGCACAAGCCTTAAGCTGTTCTCTCAGCTCAGCTGCCCCAGACTGCTGACAAGCTGTGGCTGGAGAGGGGACAGGGACCTGCCCCAGTGGGTTCAACCCACCAAGGACCAGCTCTAAACTGGGCAGAGTCACTCCCAGCAGCATTATCAGGGAACAACTGGGGGAGGAAACTCACTTTGGCAGGAGGACTTTAGGGCACACCCCTCTAAACTCAGAAAGCAACATCCAGGGAAACAGTACACACCTTGTTTCATTCAAGAAAATGCATCTTCGTGCAGTTTTGCCCCTGGTGCAGCAGAGGAGGCATCTACAAGGTCCTCAAGCCTACTAAATATGGGAGCTTCACCCTCTGATAGCCTCACAGACAGACTTGGAGAGCAGCTGGGACCACCACACAGCAACACCAGCTAAATCCGAGGATGGAACAGCCAGAACAAGAAGGTCTGGCCACACAAAAACCATCTCTGACATCCCTGTGTCACCACAGGGACCTGCAGTGCCACCTGCTCTGATGCCAGAACAACAGGGGCAGCCAAAGAGCATCAGAAGCATCTCAAGATGGGTGACAAATGTCATGCTTTCCTAAGAAGAAATCACACCACGGCTACATTTCAACCCCATGACCTAGGAAAGAAGATCAGATTTGCCAGGACAGGGACAGAAAGCAAAGGTTGGCACCTAAAATATCCCCACAGCTCCCCAGGGTGCTCCCCCACCCCAGCCTGCCAGCATCTCACCGTTTTAAAATCCATGGTACATTAATCTGGATAGTCAATGTTTTGATTCTTTGGAGATCTTTCCATTCCCTCTCTCATTTTAGCTTTTAAAGTTATTCCTCAAAATACAAGAAAAGTTGAAATTCTGTTTGGAAAAAAAAATAAATCAATCACTTATTTTTTCTTCCTGTTTCTGAGAAAGTGACAGACAAGAAAATAGTTCCACAGCTCCTGGTTAAATGCTCCTAGGGAAAACTAAAGATCTAATTCAAAATAGAATTAGTAGAGCAAGTTTTATTTTCCAAGAAGAAGAAGAAAAAAAAATACTTCAAGTATTTTGGTGTCATTTTTTTCTATTTCTATTTTTTCTATTTTCACCTTGAAAGCTGAGTTTGACCAGCATGGTGACTAATCAGTAACAATACTCCTCACCCATCAGTCCCTTAATTTTCCAGCCTTTCTCTGGCTTGCTCAAGATAACTTATCTTCTCAACACCTGTTTTATTTCTTTAACTATTTTGGGTCTAGAATTCCCATTGAAGATCAACAAAAAAACACCCAACGTTATTTAATACAGTCACAACTTTATAAAACAAGAGTTAAAAAGTAAAGAAAAGCCCCTTTCAGGTTATATTATGTTTTAAAACTTCAGTTGTGACTTCTGAAGGGCTAAAATCAAAACTTAAACTGGTTTTAAAACCTGCCTGACTGTATTTAACTCAAAAGCTGGAATTAATACTTAGCAGCTCCTTCTCAACTCAGCCACCTGCAGCTCCACAGACTCTTCTAACCCAACACACTCCCACTTCTCAGCTCCTCTCTTGAATAAAAAAGCCTAGAAATTCAAATCTTTTTGCAACCAAGTGCCAAGCTGAGCTTTTTTTGCATAGTCCATAGATTTGAGAGGCAGATGGAAACCCTGAGGAGCAGAGGCTCAGGTGAAATGAATGGCTGACACGTGAGAGCCTCTCAGAAGACACTTGCTGCTCCACTCCTGCCACCCCCACCCAAACAGAAGCTCCCAGGCAAAAACTTCAAAGAATTACCTGAGCTCCCCGCCGTTAATAAATATTGCAGATATTTGTTCATGCTGTACTGGAGGCTTTTAACATCTGCCTGGCACAGCTAAGACACTCCAGCAAGAGCTCGTGGCACCATCCTGCTGACCAGGAGCTGACACTGCACTTTCTGGGCTGCACAGATAATTAGGGCAGGACTCACCAAGTCCCGCCTTCACCCTCAGCTACTCCCAACTCAGGTTGGGTTTTACTCAAAGCGTCTGCCGGGGCTTTTCACAGAATCACAGGATCTCAAAACGATTTGGGTTGGGAGGAACCTTCAAGATCATCCAGTCCCAACCCCCCTGCATGGGCAGGGACACCTCCCACCAGCCCAGGTTGCTCCAAGCCCCATCCAACCCAGCCCCAAACTGGTTTTTGGTCGTTTCTTTCTCTCCCAGCACAACTACTATAATCTCAGGGACTTTTCTGACATCATACCTCCCCCACTTCCCAAATTTCCATGTTGCTTTTTACTCGATTTGAGGAACATAAGTTAGCAAGCACCATGTTTTCCCAAAGGGTGGGTGATCCTGAGGGTCATGCTGAGAGGTCCCTCCATCCCCACTGCTCCCCCACGAGCCCAACTTCACCCCACAGCCCATGCTGAGTCCCAGAAGGAGGAGACAACCTGGCCCTGCCTGTGGGTGTGTGTCTGCCTGCAACCCAGCCTTGTGGTTGCTCTGGAATTTCAGGAGCCAACGCTCCTCCCCAGTGCCTCCCACTGCCTTGTCCAGCACAGGGAAAGTGGTTTGGGAAATCCTGGACTTGGGAATTCTGCTTTCCACATCCCTGACGCAGCACCATGGCGTCTGACCAGAGGAAAAGCATCAGGCTTTAAACATGAGGTGAGAGAGATATTGAACACTGGAGAGAGAAACCCTGGAAGAGCAGACAAAGGGCTCCATGGGGGCAGAGAGGAGCCCAAGCTCATCAACACGGGGCCAAGGAGGGACCCAGGGAGGTCCCTGCACCTTTAGACTTCAAAATCTTTCCAGCTTGACAAGAGAGGATTTCACAGAATCCCAAAATGGTGGGGGTTGGAAGGGACCTCTGGAGATCATCCAGTGCAACCCCCTGCTAGAGCAGGATCCCCTAGAGCAGATCCCACAGGAACATATCCAGGAGGGTTGGAACATCTCCAGGGATGGAGACTCCATTTGTTCCCACCTTCTGCTTTTCACAGGTCTGTAACTGGAGCAAGGAAGAGCTGTGGGCAGGCTCAGGGCCAAGTCTCCCCACAGCCACGTTACCAGCTGCAGAAAGACCAAGAATGGGAAGTGCCCTGGCAGCCCACACTGAAATCCCAGCACCCAGAGCAGCTGCCTCTGCCCACCCACAAGAAAAATGCCACAACTGCCAGTTTAGTTAAATGACAAGAAATCCCAAACCACTGGAAAGCCACCACGTTGATTTACATGAAAAGACATGTTCTGACCTTACTGTCACGAGGGGTTTCTATTCTTCATTTCAAAACTCAGTTCTAAAAACATCCCCCAGTGACATTTTGGTAATGACTGTCCCAAACACAGGTGTGGGACAGAAAAGCAGTCTTAGCAACGTCCCTCACACAGTTCCTGGACTGGGGCACCTGGTACTGACCCACCTGGTCTCCTCTCTGGGTAAGGAAACCCCAAAGACAGTTCAGAAGTTTCCATTTCTGCTCATTATTCCATTTCCCCCTGGCAAATAAAGTAAGAAAAGCTCTTTCCTACAAGATCTTGCCCAACATCAGCTGCAGGAAGGAAAATACAGCTGTAAAGACCTTCTTTCATCCTTTCTACACACAGAGTGAACCTACACTGCAATGTAAGTAAAACAAAGGCATCCCCAAGCAGTGCAGAGGTGCTCCCACCAAACACAGAATCCCAGACTTGTTTGGGTTAGAAAGGACCTTGAAGATCATTCAATCCAACCCCCCTGCATGGGCAGGGACACCTCCCACCAGCCCAGGCTGCTCCAAGCCCCATCCAACCTGCCCTTCAACACTGCCAGGGATGGGGCAGCCACAGCTTCCCTGGGCAACCTGGGCCAGGCTCTCACCACCCTCACAGTGAAGAATTTCTTCCTAATATCCCACCTAAATCTCCCCTCTTCCAGTTTGAAACCACCACCCCTTCATCCGTACACTCCCAGCCCTTACCAAAAGTCCCTCCCCAGCTTTCCTGCAGGCCCTAAACTTTTCCTATTAACACCAGCAGCTCCGAGGCTGAACACAAGTTGCAAATGATGAAGTGCAGGTTTCACACACAGCCCCTCAGCAATGGGCTCTAGGAGAACCTGACTGGTGAAGAAGACAACAGCCTGGGGCCTGAGAATAATTAAAGTTGGGTTTTAACATTTAAAGAGACTCTTTAGCTTTTACTAAGCATCATCTTGTTTTATCTACAAGCCACAGCCATCCCACAGGGTCCCTTTTGGGCCGAAGACTTCCAAGAAGGGAGAGGTGAAGCATCTTCCTGCATTAACAGGATCAGAAGAGTTCAAGCTGGGGAGATAAGCCCAAGGATTTCTCCACACCTGACCTGGGCCAACACAAGTCAAACAGTGCTACAGGGTAACAGTGTTTCTGGGTAACACCAACCACACAGACGTGAAAAACTCCCTGGCTGGACTGTACAGCATGAACCCACCCAGTCACCTTTCAAAGAGACAACCTAGATGTGTTCTGCAAAGGCTCAGCCAGACACAGAAAATCCCCCCAGCAAGAAAACCACTTCACAAGCTTCAGCCCATCCCAGCAAACTGATTGTCAGCACACAGTGCTAGAACAAAGCACCTCCAAGTGCTGAAAGCCTTGCTCTCCTCACGCCAACACAAAGATGAGAGCAAAGAGGAGCTCAGAGCTGCAGACCTGGACACAACTCTCTGGGTTGTGAAAACATCCCCCTCCTAAGCATCTCCTGACAGCTGCTATCAACCCCAGCAAAGCAAAGAGCTGGTTTCCTGAAGATATTTCTGAAGAGATGGATTACATTTCTTTTAAGTTTTTCAGCATACTCAGGACCTAGATGTTAAAGACAGTCGTATTTTTCTTCTCTACAGCTCTTGAAGAGATGCTTTTAGGACTGAGGGCAGTTCCTCCCCCCTGCTCACACAAGCAGCTTTCAAAGCACTTCACACACATTCAATAATCTTTTCATCCTGCTCCGAAGCAGGTTGGTTTTAGTCATTTTGTAGATGGAAAAAAACCACTTCAGCCAAGTCAGGGTTAGAATTTGCCACTCCACATTCCCAGTCCTGCTCAGGCTCAGATCCCAGTTCTCAGCCCCCAACACTGCCATGGAAACACCACACTGGGGCACCCAGCCCAGCACCTTCCTCAGCTTCCAGCCAGCCCTGAAATTTCCACAAGCCTCCACTTCCTTTCACCCCACAGGCAGATTTTTGCAGTACAGACATGGAATAGATTTCCCAGACGAAGGATCCTACCTTGCAGAACCCTGTCCAAACGTGCCCTACAGAGCAGACACAACACACCAGCTCCCTCCTCACCCCACCAGCTTGTATTTCCTGAGCTACCTTCAGAGGGGGAGCAGAGGGAACACTGCCACATGCAGACAGCAGCAGAAGGGGAGGAAATTCAGTCCTCCTGCTGATCTCCCAGCAGGCAAGGAACCTCTATCACCATCTCCCAGGGGTGGCAACTGTAAGAGCACAGGATGGAAAGTAAGAATCATCTATTATCTGTGTCCAAATCAGGAGCCTTCAACACAGGAAGGACATAGAGCTCTTGAAGCAAGTCCACAGGAGGCTCATGATAATGATCCAAGGGCTGGAGCAGCTCTGCTCTGGAGACAGGCTGGGGGAGTTGAGGTGCTCAGCCTGGAGAAGAGAAGGCTCCAGGGAGACCTTAGAGCACCTTCCAGTGCCTGAAGGGGCTCCAGGAAAGCTGGGGAGGGGCTTTTACCAGGATGTGTAGTGAGAGGATGTAGGGTTATGGTTTTAAACTGGAGGAGGGGACATTCAGGTTAGACATGGGGAGGAAATTCTTCACTATGAGGGTGGTGAGAGCCTGGCCCAGGTTGCCCAGGGAAGCTGTGGCTGCCCCATCCCTGGCAGTGTTGAAGGGCAGGTTGGATGGGGCTTGGAGCAACCTGGGCTGGTGGGAGGTGTCCCTCCCCATGCAGGGGGGTTGGTCCTAATGATCTTTAAGGTCCCTTCAACCCAAACCATTTCATGATTCTATTACAACCTTCTGAATATGATGCTCCTTGGGAAGTCTGGAATCGTGAGGAGGCCAAAGAAAAGAGGAACAGGGCAACATCCTGCTAATTCCTCCTCTCTGCTCTGGCACATGTCCTTGGCCTCCTCCCACCTGGCAAGGCCAGCTCCACTCCTCAGTTTTCAAAAGCTACTTTCAAGGCTACAAAGATCTACTAAAGAGTTTTGGGGTTACTGCCAGTCCTCAAACATCAAAGTCAACACCAGCTTCAAATCAATATGCTTAGCAGGCTGGTTCTTTAGATGTTATCCTTTTTTCTAGGCACTCTCCTAGAAAACACAGGCCTGCAGTGTTGCTCTTGGTGTAGATACCTGCCTGCTTTGGAACAAAAATAAATATGCTTTTAAAGCTTATTTATCAGGTGACTTGATTAAGTAGGTCAAAAATGCCGAAGTGCACTGATAAAAGGCTACTTTAAAACAAGACAGGCAGTTTCAACGACAGGGAGCAACTTATGTTGGATCCAGGAGCTGCTTTCAAGAAGATGGTTGCCAGGTTGCTCACTAAACTACTACACCCTCTAGTGTAAATCTTAAACATAACCTTCCAGACGACAGAGGAACAGGCAGAACTTCAATCTAAGCCCTTGAGACAAAGCAAAGACACAGCACTGCTTAAAATCAACTGTGAAAACATCTGCAAAAAAACAGGCACTTTCTGCAGCCCTGCTGAAGGCCCTTCAAAAAAGCCAGGGTTTTGCAGCAGGTTCATGGCTCATTTTCCACTATCAAATGGTTGAAACCTAACACTGACTCAAGGCAGAATGTGCAGATCCCTGGTTCTGACAATGTGCCATGAATTACATG